CAACTCCCAGAATCCCCCAGCCAGCGCAGCTGCGCTGGCTGGGGGATTCTGGGAGTTGAAGTCCACAGGACTTAAAGTCGCCAAGGTTGAGAAACACTGGCTTAAGTTAATATAACATCATCCATTTTGTCCTTTTCTAGAAGGACTCCAATCTGTTTAATTGTAGCAAATTTCATGGTGTTTTTTTTTAACAAATACACAACAGTGAGCATCTATAATAACACTGCACCACTTGTTAATCACTTCTGCTGCTCGTTAGTTCTGCCTAACTAATTGTATATATCAAGTCTTAACAAAAACACATGATTTAGAATATAAATAATGCCGGAAGCAGATTTTACTAATAGGGCTAAAAGATTCCCATCGTCATTTTGATCAAGTTTCCTTGTTTCTACATTACACCTGGGATCATTAGACAAAGAACTCTCTGCACATCACCTCTTAAACAAGTGACGTGCCTACCCTAAATTAATTAAAAGTCTAAAAATGTATTCATTTCAACTCTTGGATATTTCCTATAAAATATATATATATAGTGGTCTCCAATCTAAGCAGTTGCAGTGTTATGAGGTCCTCCTCAAGCACTCAGCTGACAAGTAGTCACGAGTTTTAAGACAATATTTATGCAAGAAAAGTTGCCGAATGAGCGTGGTATGAATTATTATGCTTGATCCCTCCCATTTTGTCCTTGAACCGCACTCAATAATATATAATTGGTGTGGTGTGCACTTAATATAAATTTATTTTGTCATACGGCATCACTGGCATCTTCTTTACCAAATGTATTTTCAATAACTTAAACTAGCATATGTATAATAACAAACCCTGCATTTATAAGTAATATATTTTATTTACATATATATAAATATAGATATATATATCAACATACACATTTTATGTTTCAAAGTACTGTCTTAGTCCACGTGTTCCTCCTTCCATGCAGAGCACACCAAAAATGGCCTCCCATCGTGAGTTTTCCATCCCCAGCAATAAGATTAAAGTGCTACTCAACATGTAAATTAGGGCAATAATGTTGCAGATTTCTTGGTTTTTACTGAACTTAATAAGTGAAATGGAAATGCTAACTACACATCACAGCTGGGAATGGTAAACTTGTCACGGCCGAATTACAGGCTTGGCCTGGCTCACTAGTATGTGGACGATTTATTATTATTTATGGCTATAGTCCTTCGATAAACTTACTCATTATTTACTTAAGACCCCATTGATTTGGTACATTTCCTTCCCCGAATAATGCATTTGAAGCTGAGACCTTGCTTTCCACAATAAAAGGTGCAATGGCACATCTGCATAAAAACGAGTTTGCTAACAAATTCAAGACACACTGATTTAGAACCAACTTCTAAAGACACACAGAGGAACTGTAGTTCAACACAGTGCTGCATTCTCCATAGAAAATTATTTAATGATGATAGGACCACAGGCAAATATTTATGTAAATAGATATTTTTTTTCCGTGTTGATATTTTATGGTATACATATAGCTTTTTCTTTTAGACCTCCATTGCATTATTTTCATTTTTTTCTTATTTGTAAGGTAATGTTTTTAGATCAACGTAGACTTGAATTAATGTCATAATTGTCAGTATTACTGAGGTTTACGTCAACTGTACCGTTGTCCATTCGTCCCATAGTTTTAAAACATCATCTAGTTATTTGGCATTGTTGCAAGTGCCTTAAATTCATGGCATCCTATTAAAAAAAAAAGAAAATACAAATTTGGTGTTATGCTGCATGACCAAGACAAAAACACCTCAAAATGTTGTCCTTTCTTAGCTTGCTGCGTTTTACAGTTCTTTCGGCTAACAGTTTATAAGCCTTTACTATATAATATTGATGAATTACAGAAATGATGACGTCGTTCTCTTATTTCTGTTATAAATGTACCAGAGCTGTGTATCTGTTAATGAGATACAGCATCATTTCTGTGAAATGTATAAATGTACGTGCAGGTCAAATTAATATATGACATACTATCAGTCTGTATACAGGTATTCCTGTTTTGCTAAGGTGTGCAAATTTTAAAACAGTAGTGCGTCAAAACTTCAGACATGCCACATTTTGTAATAGATTCCATAGTTAAAAAAAAGAAATTTAAAAAAAAAATCCAATCGGGCATATTAGACAATAAAATTGACATCATAGCAAAAGGGGGGGGAGGGGGGAAACGAAATAAAAACATCTCTGATTGGAAAATCATTGACTGAAAAAAAAGGGGGGAGTTAATCTTGTTGCACCACTAAACAAAACAGGCCCCCGTGCTTTCTCCAGGTTGATTCCAGACTTAGTTACCTTTACAGGGTTCCACCACAAAACAGTGCCCGACTAAACCACGCCCCACTAAACCGCGTCGCTGACGTCATCAACAGGGCGACAACAGCGCAGAGACAGAAGCACGCTGTAAACCATAAACCTAAACTTAACCCCTAAACCTAAACCTAACCCCCTAAACCTAATCCTAAACCTAACTCTAAACCTAACCCTTAACCTAATCCTAACCCTAACCCTAACCCTAACCCTAACCCTTAACCTAACC